TAGTATATGATGACGATGACGAAGAAGAGCTTGTTGCATATTGCTGAGCAATCGTCGTGTTTGCAACTGTTGTGAATGGCATCATGCTACTAACCACATTGTCGTATGGTGATGGACGTGCTGAGCACGGCTCCTCTGAAAAAAAAATTTATCCTCTTATATCTAAAAGATAAAGCTATAAATACGCATCACGCAAAACGACGACCAATACATCGCACATCCGTGCAAATATATACTCATACATGAAGTATACAAGTACACATTAATATATGGGCAGTTGTTTCGCATCCGTCCTTAAATTTTTTATTCATCGATTCAACCCCATTCTCAAGAGATGATGTGCATGCTCTTACGTAGAAATCGTCAGGGATTTACACTTTAAATGCCAAAAAATAACGCACGGGAACTCGTAAAGCAATATCAGATGAATGAAATCAGCATTTTTCCGTTAGTTTTTAGCAAAGCAGTTGAGTGCCCTATATTGAGGAAGAAATATTTACGTTTTAAGAAGGAGCTAGTGAGGGAAAAGTTAATTATTGTGGAAACTTGTTTGAAATAAAGATTTCTCAAGTTTGATGAAAACACTTTTTTGCTCATAACTGATGGAAATATGTGTGTTCACCATTATCATCAGTGACTTTTCCTGAGATTTCACTCTTCACTGAGAACGAATCGCTTGGTCGCGTTGTATCAAGAGGAAATGGTTTCGTCGCAGTTGTGCCATCCGCTTGGAATGCATAACCAGAAGATGACCCCTGAAAGAATTTCGGCTCGATTNTTAACGCATTGACTCATTAAGAACAAATGATTTGTATGCTTCCAGCAAGTAAATGAATTTCACACTTTTTAAGATCCATCACAAAAATCATGAGATAGAAAAATTCTCGAAATAAAACAGCTATCAGTAAAAAACTTCATATTTCGGCTTCATTGGCTTTCATATTAATAAGGTTATCGGAAAAATTTAATTTTCATGAAATGTAAGCTTTCTTTTTTGCTTTCGAAACATGAAAGATGTGTGAAAAAAGCAATAGATTCACGCATGAAATGAACTCGAATATGTTCGTTTCGTTCGTCATCACACAAATGAAATATCAAAGTAGCGTTCGAAATCCACTGGGAGATAACTTTTTCATGGTTTATTCAGTATTTCTACGCCGAAATCATCGATTCAAACGTTGAAAAGCAACATCGAATAGAACAATTCATTTTCTATAATATTTTCTGCCACAGTAAACTATCTACCTTACATGACACACCCCTGAACGAGTGTTTGCTTTGAAACATTTAACGCATGTAATGAAATATTCAAAAATTCTTGAAACATTCAAAAGAGTGGTTAATTTTGCAGTTAAATTTAGCCGGGACCAATGAATCAATCTTCTCGAAAGAGGTACATGAAATCAATCTTCCCGAAAGGGATGGACTCGTAATCCCCACTCTTGAATCGCGATTCAAATCTTGCGATACAAATTTCACTTGATATAAGAAACTTCTCGCACTTAATCAGCTAGGCAGCAAGATTAATATCGGATTTCGAGTGAAAGAAAGGATAGTGAAGCAAACCACTTTCACACTAGAATACACAAAATAACTCAATTAGGCGCTATAAAATCCAAACAATTATTTGAATTCGAGAATCAAGCATTCGAGAATCACTATAACTTACATTCAGAGTTGCAGCATCAGCAGAGCATAGATCTGGTGGAGGTGGTGCACTGCGAACCGGTGTTAACGGACTTGTAGGTGACTTTAGTGGGCCCATGGATGTGGGACGGGATGTGGATGGTTCAACATTGAGAGGTGCAATTGTTGGTGTTGTTGAAGTGGTTGTAGGTAGGAACGTAGGGGTTGGTTTGAACGAAGATAAAGCTGACGATGTGCTTTTTGGAGGTTCTGTAGCCATCAAGTCCCTACTGCCCAATATTTCACCTTTTCGTTGCTTTGTCACTTGATCGTAGTAATCACCACTATAGACAGTTGTTGTCATGTCACCATTTCCTTAATGAACAATCGTTTGAAAAGTTTAAATAATTCTGATCTAATGAAGTGATCAACTGATTTAATGATGGTGTAATTATCGTTATAATGATGATTACCTTGCGACCTCTCTTCGCAGTTATGATAATTATCGGCAATAATGATGATATGAACATCAAAAATGAACGAAATAGAAGTACCTCTTGGTGAAATAGTTCCACTTGTAATTGGTTTCGTCGACGAGGATGTGGTTGATTTCAGTTGCATCACCGGCATTATAGGCACCTTTGGTATTTTGGTCGTTTGCGCACGATGCGCCTTCTCTTTTGCTGCAATCCACAAGCCTTCAGAGGCAACAACAATTTCACGACAAATAAGCCTTATATGGCCGTAAATCATTCATCATGTGGTTCACGTTGAGGAACGAAGTTGAGATAACTAATCGACATTACAAGTTTCCGACTTTTTGAGCAGTTCCGTCGATGAACAATGAAAACGGGGAACAATTTCTAGAAAATAATAAAGGATCGTTAAACATAAGAACCATAGAATTTTGAGTCGGTGTCCACATGTCCATCATCTTGTTCTTCATCTTCTGGAATCGTATAAACAGGGCCGGGGCGGTGTGTGAAGAACGGTTGATTGCTATAGTAACTGACAGCCGCTGAATAATCAATCTCATCTGATTCTGTCGCCTGAAAAAAAAAACATCTCAGGAAGTACTCTCTGAAATGATGACCAGCGTGAATGCTTCTCATCACCAGTTTTTTTGGTAAACTGTATATTTTGATGCTATTGAAGTAGATGTTAACGAATGAAGAAACATTCTCAAACGCACAGTAGGACCTAATGATTTTGTGAGTTGCAACAATCACGTTTTGCATTAATTGTCTCAAAATTCGAATGATTACAGTACAAGGCGATTGTTGGTTTCAAACTTGTGGCGTTGAATTCACTTTATTTGTTACTAAAAATTATCATCTTGCGACTGAGTGATCCGCAGGCAAGTTGCACTGTGGAAATAGATGAGAGTAAGCAAAGAACTGAGGTTGCAGTGCGTCAACAATCATTCGACCACAAATACGGAGAGAAAGCATTTATGTGAAACTATCAGCACGCAAGCACTTCAGTCAGGTGGAAACTCACAAGTTCCTCTGTAATCTTGACCGTATCCTCGTCTTCATCATCATCGATGAAAGGATTTTTGCGTTCCGATGACGGTTGCACTGCACTCACTTCTAGTGGCTCATTCTTGGGTTGCTCTGACATTGCACCAATCTCCATTCCCATTGACAGATCTTTATATCCTTCCTAGAGATTCACATCATCATTTGTCGTCTTAGTAGCGATTTCAGTCCTGATTTTGGAGCAGAAACAAATCTTGGGCATTTCAATTCAGAAATGCTTTGCAAGAATTATAGAATGCCACTTGTTTCGAGATGAGAGCAAACGCTTCAACGAAAGGTTCAAGTTGTTGAGGATAAAAGGGATCATGAACGAGAAATAATTTGATGCTTCTTTATGTGGCTATGAAGACAATTTCGAGAATCTCATCCGAGTCCCTACCGAATGGGCTTGAAATGAGAATCAGTTTGGGAAAAAAAAGGTGAATGAGGGAGGTTCATTGGAACAAACCGCTGGTGTAGTACTGTCATCAACTGAGAAAATATGAGGCTTCGGAGAAGCTCTCTTGATGAGACTATCATGTGCCCACTGCACATCGAATTCATCATTTGCCGACTCACCAAATGCCTTAAACTAATAAATTATTAGTTCCGCTTTCTAACACAGCCATCCGGCTGTCTTAGTTTAGTCAACTTCTAGCACACTACGTCCTTCACTACTGTGAAGATTCTTTCTAGTTCATTTTGTTGAAATTTACGACGTTGGGAGAGCATCGATTGCGACATCATTATTAGGCGTCTCGTCAGTTTTCATT